TCCTGCTCCTCTGATGCTGCCTGGCCTGCTGTGTTCATCCAGCTCCACACCTTGTTATCTCAGACTCCAGCACCGGCAGATCCTACTATCTCTTAGAAAACTAAAATGCATTTTTCTACCAGTTTAGAACCAAAGTTCCCAAATAACAACTGCATACTATCAACCTTCTACACACAGTATCGAAGCTTGGAGGGTATGAGTTGTTCATTAAATAATTGCGGATATATCCTTTAATTCACGTGACAGCTTTTAGAAACTATTTTCTTTCACCTCTAGTGAAACTTCATTTTTAGCACAAATAATGACTTTCAAATAATAATTTATAATTATTATTTGTCTCCACAATTTTGACCCATTAACAAATTTCATCACCTTGTTCACTCCTGTAATGAACATTTTTCCCATGCTATGCCCTCCTTCCAATGCTATTCCCATCCAATACTTTCCATCTGCTCCAGCCAGGATTGTCACAAATCAAAGCATGTGATGGCTGTAAAATGTCATGCAAGTTTTTTAACATATTTGCTTGGGTTCTTGGCATTGGTAGCAAAGACTGCATTTGTTGTCCAGCCCCAGTTGGCTTTGAACTAAGTGGCTTGCTGGATCATTTCAGATGATAGTGAAGAATCAATCCATTAATGTGCATCTGGAGTCATAAGTCAGCCAGATAAAAACGGCAGATTTCTGAAGGGACACTAGTAAACCAAATGGGTTTGGCCAACTTTTATGAGCCTAACTCTCAATTTTAAACCTCTATAAATTAAATACCAACTACCATGGTGGCATTTGAACCAAATCCTTACAGCACTAACCTAGGCTTTTGGACTATGTGTTTGATGACAATATCACAGTACCACAGCAGCAAAGTGTTTGTCATCATAATTCATCACAGCCTAACAATTGACAGTTAAAGGATTATTTACTGAATAATGAAAGCCAATAGTACAACTCTAGACAACAAGGTGCAGGGCTGGATGAACACAGCAGGCCAAGCAGCATCATAGGAGCAGAGAGGCTTTGTCCTTCCAAATCTGGTGAACCTAAAGGTGAATGTGGAGTGGATGGTTAGCTCAGTTTGGTGGACAGTAAGTTGCTCAAGCAGAGTGACACCAGCTGTCCTTCTCATCTCTCCCCTCACCTGAGGCGCAGTGACCCTCAGGTTAAAGCACCACCATTTGTCTCTCTGTAATGAGGGCAGCCCTGTAGTCTGATAGGACAATGGTGACTTTATCTCATTTTTACAGGTCTGTCATTGATTCCACAAGTAATGGAATGACTTAAAGTGGTATTACTATCAAAAAGCAACATTGAAAACTTTTGCATTTTATGCATTATGGGCAATATTACATTTATTACAGCATATTGAATTGGTCAAGAGATAATGCCCCAAGGACATGAGCTATATCCTGTCTATGTAGTAAAAAATGATTAATTGTCTTAGGTCTCACCCTTACCTTTTACTGTTTTTGTCACTGGTTTGGCTGCCATTAACAATTATTGTACCAGGCTCCAGCCACTAAATCACCAACCAGTCAGAACAGTCTAGACAGAAAACAAAACAAGTATTATAAATATAATTTGGCCTTATGCTGTTTCAATATATAGACACTTGAATTTAGATATCTTCTAAGCAACCTGTTCAAATATGTTATTGCACACATGGAACATGTGGAACTTGAGCCCAGGCCTCCTGATTCAGAGGTAGGACAGCATCATTGCATTTCAAGAGCCCTTTGCATTTAATTTAAAAAAAGATTATTTTAGCTATTCTTCTAATCAACCTGTGAGACATGGTGTTACACACCTCTGGAACAGGTGGGACTTGAACCTGGGCCACCTTGGTCCAGGGATAGGGACACTATCAGTGCACCACAAGACAACCCCCTAGACCTTTGCATTTACTTCAGTATACCGAACAGGTTTCAGCTGATTTGTCGTATTTGAAGGCCGTGCTGTAGTCTGGAGCTTGAAGCCTTTTGGTGAATTACCATGCTATGTGTTGATGTGTTAATCCTTTGGACTTCTTTCCTTTTCCAATGAATCTTTAGTAAATAAATCATTATTTATGACTTCTGGTGCACCCTGTTGTGTGTCCCATCTGCCAGGAAAGTTTTTTTTTTCTCTACTGTAACAGCTTTAATCCATTTATTTTAAAGGCTCTGAAGAAGAGAGAAGAATTTTTCAGTTGGCTGAAAAAAGAAGAGTCCCTTTGAAGCCAGAAAAGCAACTTCAGTTGAGTTTGAAGACCAATGATCCAGTTTATAATGGAACCACTGTTAAAGTGTCTGCGGTCATTTCCAACAAGAATTCAACAAAAAGAATCTGTAAACTCAAAATTAATGCCATGAAGAAGAAATACAATAAATCATCAAGAGGGGAATGTATAAAGAAGTATCAGCAGGAGATATATGTTGCAGGCCATAAAGGTAAGAGGGCAGAGGTTAGTTTCATACCTAGCCAGTTTTTACTTCTCCATTGTCACAGTGACACCACCCACAAACTGGAGGAGCAGCACCTCATATTCTGCCTCGGGAGCCTACAACCCAATGGTCTCAATGTGGACTTTACCAGTTTCAAAATCTCCCCACCCCCATCCTCATCCCATGACCAATTCTTCCTCTCATCCCCGCCTCCTTGACCTGACATAACCTGTCCATCTTCTCTCCCACCTATCCGCTCCTCCCACCTCACTGACCAATCCCTGCCACTGCCTACCTGCACTCACCTATCACCATCCCCAGCCCCACCCCTCCTCTCTATTTATTTCGGAACTCTCTTCCCCGTCCCCCATTTTTGAACAAGGGTCCTGACCCGAAATGTCAACTTTCCTGCTCCTCTGATGCTGCCTGGCCTGCTGTGTTCCTCCAGCTCCACACTGTGTCATCTTGGTTTTTACTTAGTATTGTCAGATATTATTTCAAAGCTTTGGATATATTACATTAAGACTCAAGGCCTATTTTTAGCAGAAAGTGCCAATTTCGATGAGTTTCAATGGAGAGTTTCTCTCGATGCGCCCTAGTGAGGTTTCTCTCACATTATTTTCTACAGTTTCCCTCATTAGCTGTGCACCATACTTTTGCCACACCCTGCTCGTATTACCTTCCACTTAGCAATGGCAGAAGTATACATTGCTGCCAGGATCTCCCAGAATTCCCGACACCAACACTACTTATAAGTCGTATCCATGCACCAGATCAATTGCAGCTAGCTAGCAGCACAGAATAGGATGAGAATGCAAAGGAAAAGCATCTGAGGGCACCAAGAGAGTATTGGTGATGCGTCAATGCAAATACCAGCTCACATTTATAAATGTTTTGCTTTTTTACATCATCACATGTCAGATCTATTGTCATTGTATCTGTAGCTGCAAGAACAAAGCTACCACCTATACAGTACCTGTTCATAGCCCCTTACCATCTTTGAAACCTGTTGAAGAAACTGCTATTCTTTCCCCAGCATGTACAATCTTCTCATTGTACAATGTGAGACATCACATACTGGAAAGCCTTTATTGAACCGTAGCAAAAATGAAAAAAAGAAACAAAAGCGGCATTTGATTTTATGAACAGAGAGGGACTGCTTGCTTTTCAAGCCACAGCAAATTTGAAGTCAATGAATGATTGTAACGCTGTGGACAATGAACTCTGCTGTGGCTGGATCCATTGCTCATGGTTCCAATGAGCCTGTGTAGGAAATACCAGAAACAGAACATATCCTTGGTCATGTGCACAGTCAGCCTCACTCACAAGAAGCAGTTTATCATAGACCTTGACACAATGGAACATGGAAGACTGTAATATGGAACTTTGATGTAGCAGACCTTATTCTGATGTATGCAGTACAAGCCATACCATACAAATACAAGAAGAGATTGCAAGCACAGTCGGATTACTGAAACCATGCCCTCCCATCCCAACATCCTACATCAGCCAAGAAGGGCAGCACTGCATATAAGAACATGTTGATGAATATTTACAGTGCAAGGTGAGAGGATATCAGCTCCTTGTCCTTGTAACACTTATGCAATCTTCAATTGTGTTTATGAATTGTAGCTGGCAGGTGAGACTTTTCATCAGTAATCACTTCTGCTTCATAGAGATGACTATGGCCAATCTGCAATGGTCAATGACATGGTCAAGACTGCTTCATGACCAGGATTATTGAATGCTGCATGTGTTTCACACATAGGGTACTGTGAACACCAATATCTTCAACCTGTACTGCATAAGTGCTTGACTAGTACAATTTGTTCTTTGAAGAGCCGCACATTTCACAAGTAGAACCAGTGAGCTCAGACACAAAAAAAAAAATCCCCCAACTCTGGGAGTGGTCATAACTATTTTCTATTTCCATTTTGCATTCATGATTTGCATGAGGATGGAAGGAAATACATGTCATGCTCAGCAGACTGAGTCACAGGTTCAGCGAGGAAATCAAGAGTCCTCCAATGCGATCTTCCATGTTCCTTTGTTTCTGACACTCCATTCATCCATCCTGAACTTGCACTGTTTCCGCCCATGCTTTCCTCTCACAACCTTATGCCTGAAAGCTGGCCCTACAGCTTACTCTTGCCAACTATCATGCTGACTGTCATCCACATTGAAGCCAGTTTTATTGTGACTGTCTAGGAACCCCCTCCCATAGTACCCATGTCCTCCAATGCAATACCATCCCCCACCTTTCTGTTTTGAGTTGTCCCCTGAATAACTATTGTCCCTTTTACATCTCGGCATGCTTCCCCCAGCCCTAGAACTGATTTCCCCAGCTTTCCTGCCACAACAGTCCCCCCTGTTGATTTTCCTTGAGCCGTTCCCAAGAGTGATTGTGGCCCACTCCTCCTCCTTACCCCGACTGAATCGAAAAGACAGCTCCAACTGCTGTGTGATTGAATTCTTGTGTGCAGCTCCCCAGATGACTTCCTACGAACCCCCAGACTGGATTATGCTAGACCTTCAGGCCTGACTGTGGCTGGTCCCGAGAATGCAATGATACAGATTCTCTGATCCTGACTATGCCAAACGGCGACTAACCATGTTCAAGCCCTGAACTGAAAGCGAATGCTGGCCATGACTTACTGTGTTGAGTCTCGGACTAATAAGAATCTGCCTTGACTTGACCCTTAGATTTTGAGACATGGTCATTTGTCAGAAAGACATGCAGTATGCGTGCCATGGAAGCTGCAAACACATGGGGTAGCTTGCTATTGATGTAACACCATGATATATCGCAACATATTCACCCCCTTGACTGATCACAACTGAGAAGCTGCCTGGCTTTGTGTCTGTATTGAATGGCAAGGCAACACAGAAGTGCTGGGAGCTTTAAACTTCTAGATGAGGTAGCAAAATGCAAAAAGGCAAAACAAGACAAGGCAAGACAGACATGATGTGATCATTCAAGTAGGCGCAAAGTGAATGAGTGCAAGGAGAGCAAACAAGGAGCCCTGAGGTGAAACCTGGTCCAATCCATAAGATGGCTGCTTATCCCATCTCACAGTGTCCTGGAAACCACATTACAGTGAGAGGTGCCAGTGTGCTCCAAAAGTGCATCATTAAAATGTAGAACTGCATTGTAATTGGATTGGAGAAGTTCCTTGATGTTGTGGTGAGACTGGTATGTGATCGATATTAATCTGAATGGACGGGCAGTGTGGGCACTCTATTGCACATAACTGAAATACTGGAGGCTGTTATTCCAAGGTGAAGGCCAAGAGGAGTAATTAGTAAGCTGGACTCACCAGGTATCCGCATTGACTTTCATTTCGGGAATTGTTGCCATCTAATTTCAATTCATCTTGTGGGACAATAGAAAAATGCATATCAATGAGATGAGATTGGTTACTAATGGCATGAAAATATGCTTCTCACCATTCACTTGTGAGATTCTTACTTTCATGTTCAAAACCTGGTTGCAGAATTGGACTTCTTTTTCCTCAACAAGAGAATCTCATTTCTTCCGATCTCATCCTATTTTCCCAATTGACTCATCATTTCCCACACAGTTCAGGGGTTAGAAAAATTTTGTCTCCAGTGTATCATTCTGTTTATAGGTTTACTAAGTGATGTAATGAAGTAACCCGTTGAAATAGAACTTTACAGTAATTATAGATCAGTTATGTCAACTTAGTTATGGATATATTGTAACAGTGCTTTCAATTTGTTTTTTTAATCAAAAAAATGACAACATGTGGGTGCCCTAAATTATTATAGTGTATTATGTTCTATTGTTACACATTTTGACAATGAAGCATTGAAAGCTTCCATCAGTTATACAATTTTTTATTGAATATTTAATAGGAATCCACTAATCCTTTGTTTCTGCTTTATGCCATAGCTGAAGGCTATTTCTTTTAAAAAAAAATCAATTTGATAACCTGTTCTTTATATCTGAATTAATATTGCAGATAAAACAGTAGAGATGGAAATGTCTTATCAAGAGTATGGTGAACTGCTTGATAAGTATAATCTAATCAGGTTGACAGCTCTTGTATTTGACGCAGCGACAAATGAAAGTGCGTTCATACTAAAGGACATCTCTTTGATCAATCCTAAAATCTCAATTCAGGTAATCAAAGAACATGTTTAGAAGTTGTTATTGTTTCCTTTGATATATCTATTGTATCTGCACTTTGTTTCTCTTTATAAACTTTGCAGTCAAAATCTGGGAGACCATTAGATTTATCTTTGGCTTGAGAGAATATTTCCACTAATTTTTAAATGTGCTATTAATGTAACCCAACTAAGAATGGTATTAATTAATTAAATTGTGGCCCAGATAAGGATGGCAATTTCCTTCCCTACAGGACATTAGTGAACTAGATGGGTTTTTACTGACAATTGACAATGGATTCATGGATGTCCTTCGAGTCTTTAATTCCAGATAATTATTGAATTCAAATTCCACCATCTGCCATGGTGGGATTCAAACTTGTGTCCCCAGAACAAAACCTGGGTTTCTAGATTAATATTCCAGCAATAATACCACTAGGGTATTGCCTCCCCTCCTAAAATGTACCTAATCTAAGTATGTATACTGTAGGCTATTACACTGCAAACATTCTAGCTCATGGGTAGCAAGCAGAGGAAGCCAAAATAAGGAATGCACATTTTCTCCAGGGTTGAGATGAATGATGTTCAGGTCTAGAGGCTTTCCACCACCTCATTTTGGTCAATACGTAGACACCTGTGGTCATGAATGTTGCAGCAATAATTCATTTCCCTCTCCATCACAGCCACAATGATCTAGGGGCATTCCTGTGCCAGTGCAATGTAGAGTTTTGGGTAACAAACTCACATTTTGGGCATTCTGGATAACTGGTTTGTTTTCTCAGGTCCGAGATGTCCCCGTGCTATCCCAAAAGGTGATAATTGTAATCAGTTTTGAGAATATCTTGCCTGTGGAGCTGACCAATGGTGTCTTCACACTTGAGGGCGCAGGTTTGGTTGATGGTCAGATGGAAGTAGGGTAAGTTAAAACGCCGAAAATGATCAACATATCGTGATGTTAAGTGTTTTATAAAAATATCATTTAATTTAGAGTATTGAATTTGAGCTAGTGGCATGTGGATTTTGGTCTATGCGTATTTGGGGTTTAACAGTTGTCAGTACATTGGGAGCCATGATTTTAAACCAGGAGTTATCAGGGATTGGGATCTCTCTTGGAGTGATAATGTGACTTTGTGTTCAAAGAGTTTTATGATTGAAGGAAAACCTATTGAAAGTCATTAGCTTTCTTTTAGTTCAGGAGAATCAAGATTTGATTTTTGCTTAGGAAAAATTTATAATTTGAAAAGCATGTGGCTTCAGTGAGAAAACTTAACTGGAGTCAGACAAAAGTTTAGTTTGAAAATTTCAGACCAAAAGCTGGCCGACTTCATAAGAATAGGAGTAGGCCATTCAGTGCCATTAGCCTATTCCACCTTTTAATAAGATCATGGTTGATCTGTGACCTAACTTCATATACCTGCCTTTGAACCATACCCCTTAACGCCTTTGCTTAACAAAAATGTATCTATCTCTGATTTAAAACTAATAACTGATTTGATATCAGCTGCCATTTATTGAAGAGAGTTCCAAACCTCTGCCACCCTTAGTGTGTAGAAATGCTTTCAAACATCTTTCCTGAATGATCCGGGCCTAATTCTCAGACTATGCTCCAAGTTCTAGAATCTTCAACCAATGAAAAAATTTATCTTTATCTACCCTGTCTTTTTCTGTTAATATCTTGAAACATTTATTAAGAAACGAGAAGGCTTTATTTGAAGCCAAGAAAGTATGATATCAGGTGTGTGAGTAATCAAGTAAAAGGCTATCAAACTTTCAAGACAGAAAATTGAAATAAATAGTTAAGTCGAAGCAAACTTTCTCTAGTTTTTGAGCACTGTAAAGTGATGGTGTTGGAAACAGATAGGTTTTTGTTTGGCTGTCTGTTTTGAAATCTTTCAAATACTGTTATGAGTAAATAGTTTGGTCTGTTCCATTTTATTTTAATTTCTTTTGTGTAATAAACATTTTTTGTGTTAAAACCAAATCTGCTTCCTTGCATGCTTAAGTTTCAGTGAAAAAGTAAAGAAAATAACATGAAATAAAGAAAATAAAAACTAAATAAGATCTTTCAAGCCTAATTTTAAAGTCATAGAATCACCTGGGTCTATAGCACATTGTGTCATAGTGTCAAATAGCAACTACTTAACTATTCTAATCTCATTTTCCAACACTTGGCCCATTGCCCTGTAGCCTTGACATTGAAAGTTCACATATAAATACTTCTTGAATGTCATGAAGGTTTTGCCTCCAACACCCTTACAGGCAGTAAGTTCCAGATTCCCAGCAGCCTCTGGGTGAAAGGGTTTTTTTTCTCACATCTCCTCTAAACTTCTGCCTCTTACCTTAAATCTTTGCCCTCGGTCATTGATCCCTCCATCAAGGGGAGCAGTTTCTTCCTATCTACCCTATCTATGCCCCACCTAATTTTGTACATCTCAATCATGTCCCTTCTCAATTTCCTCTACTATAAAGAAACAGCCTTAGTCTTTTCAATGTCTGATCATGACTGAAACTCTCCAGCTCAGGCAACATCCTGGTAAATCTTCTCTACACCCTCTCCAGTGCTGACACATCCCTCCTATATTGTGTATTCCAGAGGTGTATGCAACACTCTAGGTGTGGCCTAAACAACATTTGATATGGTTCGGCATAACCTCCCTGTTCTTAAATTCTATACCTCAACAAATAAAGGCAAGTATACTATAGGTCTTCTTTACCACTTTATCCATCTGTCCTGCTAGGGACAGGAGCACATGCACACAAAAGTCCTTCTGATCCTCGGTGCTTCCCACGGTCCTACTGTTCATTATGTATTCTCTTGCCTTGTTTGTTCTGTCCAAATGAATCATCTCACATTTATTCAGATTGAATTCCATTTGCTATTTATCAGCCCATACACCCAGCCCATCTATATCCTTCTATATGCTAAGCTATCCTCCTCACTATTTAGCCCCCACCACTTTTTTTGATCCAATAATAGGGGAAGCTGGGATCATAACAATGTGTAAAGTAGATATATCATAGAAACTCAATAACATGGAACAGATTGAGACAAATAATTAATTAATTTTAATATTTACCATTGGGACAACAGAAAGATATAATTGTCATGATTTCTGTCCAATTAGATAGTACGATTAATAATATGACACACAGACTAAAACAAAGAAAATAAGTGATAAAATTACAGTGAAGATCATGATCAAGCTGTAAAGAAGATTTCAGGTGTAATCGTTGGAATATAATATTAGAAAAAAATTTGGAAACTTTAATATTGTTTAAAGGTTCTGTAACTACTTTGTTCTTAATTCATCACCTGTCAGCTTAGGCTGAGTTGGTAGAACTGATGCTGATGTGTCATAGAGTTGTGAGTTCAAGATGTCCTCCAGGACACTCAACCCATCAAGTCCACACTGACCGTCTGAAGAGCATCTCACTCAGACCCACCCTCTACCCTATCCATATAACCCTGCATTTCCCATGGCTAATCCACCCAGCCTGCACATCCCTGCACACTATGGCGATTTAGCACGGCCAATCCGTGTAATCTGCGCATGATTGGATTGTGGGAGAAAATCAAAGCACCCAGAGGAAACCCACACAGACATGGGGAGAATGTGTAAACTCCACACAGACAGTTAGTCGAGGCAGAATCGAATGTGGATCCCTGGCACTGAGAGCCAGCAGTGTTGATCACTGAGCCACCATGCCGCTTGTGTATTATTTTGAACACAAAAATCAAGGATGGCACTCCAGAGCTGTACTAGTAATGCACTGTTGTATTATCCTCAAAGGCCTGGCTAATATTTATCACTCAGTCAAGATCTTTAAATCTGATTGCATTTTCAGCAACTGCAGTTCCTTGTTTTATTTTCGTTCTAAATGTCTGGACATGATGACATTGTTCGCAAGTGTTTGCTGTGTGCAAAAAAGTCTGCCCTTTTTCTTACAGTACATCACTGACTATGCTTCCTTATTGCCTCATTGACAGTAAAGCGCTTTGAGATGTTTTGAGATCATGAACAATACTATTTTGATGCAATTCTTTCATTTCTTTAGGCTTGGGACGTTAAATCCTGGAGAAGTGATTACAAAGGAGATTTCAATTATTCCTAAGAAAATTGGGCTGAAGAAACTAACTGTGGATTTTGACAGTGATAATTTGAAGGATGTAAAAGGATACGCAAATATTGATGTTCAAGATGGAGAAAAATGATCCAACAAGATCTTGGAATCCCCACTGGTAGTACAAATCTATTAGCATGCAGTCTTATATAATGTTGCAGATTTGTAGTTTAGTTTTGTCTGTCAATCCATTAAAAGTTCTAGTTCAGAGATCAAAATGTTCTTTTCTCTTTGAGGGCTAATTTTGAGATATTATCTAGAGCTACTTTTTGATTTTTAAGTCCATTTTTATTGTCACTAACTCCTTTATTACATGATGCAGTCACATTGTAACATTATTTTCTATATTGATGATAAGTTTTTATCACAGATTTTTTCTTTAGATGGCCAAGATAACACAAATGCCAAATGGAAAGCCTCCATAACAGATGGCAACTGATTCAATCTTCCAAAAAAGGATCAAAGAGATCAACATGCTAACCATGTTTAATTCTAGATTAAAAATGAATGATGCAGAGTAATGCCTAGAGACTAGATAGTGGCTTAGTGAATATGTTTTCTGCCCTTGATTTTTAACTTAAAATTTTTTTCTAAATCTTGGTGTGGAGTGAAGTCCTGAAAACAACAAATGCTGGAGATCACAGCGGGTCAGCCAACATCCATAGAGTAAGCTAATATTTAGAGTCTAGAGTAATTTGCTCGTACAATGTGGAGTGAAGTCACTTGGTTGTCTGTTGTTTCAATAGATCTTTATCTTCGATGTTATAATGCTCTCTGCAGACTTCATTAATCTGAATGTTAAGTTCAACATAATTGCTCCTCTGCTTTCAAACTTTCTGCAGAGCCCAGATCCAGCGCTGATATATTACAGTTAATTGGTCCCATATATCACGGACTTCTTTTGCTGATATTGATACAACATTCACCAGGGAGCTGGGTAGCATTCTATCCAACATGACACACGTAACAACTATTTTTCATCATTGTGGAATACTTTAACATTATAACTACGTTAAACCAAGTGTTTATGACAATTACTTTTCTTTCACTGGATCAGAAATAGAATATACCCACATATTGAATGTGACTCTGCTTTTAGTTTTACAATGTCTTTCAAGAAATAATAAAATTGACTTAATGACAAAATTGTAGACCATTTTGATGTATTAGTGAAATGCACCAACACTTTTTGATTGCTATGTTTATGGTTTCTGGCTGATATTCTGGCTGATTCTGGTGAGATTAAACCAGGTACTGAATGAGCTCTGTTTAACTGTAATTCTCAGGGGCTGAGTCATTGGGCTGAGTCTTTTTTGCATGTGACAGTTTCGTTGAGTTTCGTGGAGAGGTTCTCTCTGCAAGGCTTTGCGTGTTCTTTTGATGCATCTTACCAAATGTGCCTCATTACCTAATCAGCCCACCCCTACAACAATCTATTCATCTGATTCTAGCCCAATCCTACCACTCACCACAGCCAGAACAGCTCTTGGCTGCCAATATATGCCGAATGGACAAACCTCCTGGTGCCACTACCACATTTAAAAGACTGTTGTGCACAAGGTGGAACACATGCAGTCTGGAGCTGCTTTGCTCTGTTCTTGACATTTGCTGGGTCATAGCAGATAAGGGAAAATTGGTGCAGTGCTTTACAGGAAGGGTCCTAGGGGTCCTGCTGGATGGGGTAGTGCAGACACAGAATGCTCTCTTCTCCCAGGACCATCAGAGGAAGCTTCAGCACCAGCCCATGCCAGCCTGGTCCAAAGGTGTCACCCAGATCAGTGCAGTCTGAGTCATTTGGAGGGTCGTGGAGCTATGTAGGAAGAAGGCTAGTGTTCTTCTCCACTCCACCAGTAGAAGTGCCATTAGCTTCTCTGCGCTGTCTCACACTCATTTTATTTCTGCTACAGTACTGTACTATTCCCTACCAGAGCTCATGTTCTACCACTAACACTATTTCCTGAAACATCTTCCCCATTCACTGCCGCCCACCCCATTGCTTGACAGCTCTAACCCTGCAATGCCCTCTGCGCTGTCTACACACTTGTTCAGGGCATCTCCACAATTGCACCAACAGTAATTGCTGTTCCTCCTACTCTCACATCCCTTCATTCCAGGTGCAAAACAGCCGAGAGAAGGGCAGAAAGAATCAAAACAGGTTGTTGATTTTTGAGATAGCGAGAACTGCAGATTCTGGGGTCAGAGATAATGGAGTGTGGAGCTGGAGGAACACAGCAGGCCAGGCAGCATCAGAGGAGCAGGAAAGCTGACATTTCGGTTCTGAAGATCTGAAGAAGGGTCCCGGCCCGAAACGTTAGCTTTCCTGTTCCTCCGATGCTGCCTGGTCTGTTGTGTACCTCCAGCTCCACACTTTGTTATTTTTGTTGATTTTTGGCTCCTCGCCCCTTTTGACGGAGCCCAGCCCCTCTGTGGCTGACTGACCATGTCCAAGCCCTTAGCTTGGAATCGGAGGCTGCCCTTAACTGACTGTGCTGAGAGAATTTGACATGGCTCAAAGCTATCTACTTTTACTTGACTGAGGTTTGCTGACAACCAAAGACAAGGTTCTTGATAAGGCAAGGCAAAGCAAGGCATGTATGCTGTGAGCATCCAGGTAGGCCCACAATGCTAAGAGAGCAAGTGAACAGCTCAGAGATGCACCCTGGTCCAGCCCATGAGCTAGTGCATGTCCTTAAGTGTAGAGCACTCATTCTACAGCATTACAATGATTGTTGTTGTACGCCAAGGTGCAACACTGAAGTACAGAAGAGTACTGTAGGTCAATCTAAGATGTGTCATGAGGGTTTTTACCAGCTGGCACACATCAGATGCCAGTGTCCATGGATGTGGAGTGCATTGGAATGTGCCATAAAATGCTGTTGTGTGGTGTCCAACACGGAGGCCCTTCACAGCCAGTGGTGAGCTGAAGACGCTAGGTCAAGCTTTGACTTCTGTGGCAAATTCTCGATGTTGAGTTGTCTTGTGATGGGTGGCATGATCAGAAGCTGCACATTAATGAGGCAAAATGTGCAGTGAATGAGCAATGACCCCCGTTTGATAGGCAACTCACAACTGCCTAGCGAGAATCTTGCCTCAATGCCCGGAACTTAATTAAAAGATGCAATGAGTTGTTCCCAATGTTAAGATAGGCCTTGCTGGACATTCTGTATGATTCTGTCACATTTCCTGCCTTAGCCAACCTTGTTCAGACCCCTGGAGGATTATGTTAACAATTGTTTTCAACAGCAACATATTGTGAATGCGTGCAACATCCATTCTTCATTTGAATGTTTCATCAATTGCAGTTTACAGTTTGTGGAATGTTTCCTCTGTGTTTTAAAATGAACAAATGGGTCACATATTTATAGAGAAGTGTAGTTTTAATGTTAGGCCATTCAAATGGAAGTTTGGAAGAAATCCTGGGACAATGGCACAAATGGCTGTTCACATAATTTCTCCACAGTTTTGCTGGATGTCCACTGAGGGTTTGGAGAAAAATTGGTAGAATCTTCACAGATATCATTGTTGAGGATTTACCCATTGCTTTAGTCATTGCATGTGGAGAAATAATTATAACTATGTAACCTAAATGAGAGGAATGGAGCTGGCTTATAATATTTTGGGAAGAGCTCAATGTTTAATTTGCCAATTATTGATTAATAGCTCTTTGCTGGAATGTTAAAACTGTGGTACATCTACCACCTCAAGAAATGAGCTTTCACATTCAGTTTCTCTCTCCTATTTTCATACATCCAAAATCTTGGTCATAGCAATGAAAGGAATAATCTTTACCAACGCATTTTCCTTTATCTATTCATGGGATGTGGAAGTTGGTAGCCAGCATTTCTTGCCAAACCCCATTTCTCCTGAGAATATTGTGGTCATCTGCTTTCTTGAACCGCTAAAGACCTTGTTATCAATGTACACCCACAGACCTGTTAGTGAGTGAGTTCCAGGCATTTGACCTAGTTGCAGTGGTATATTAAGTTAGGATCGTGTGTAACTTGATGTCATACCCTTGCTGCCCTTATCCTACTAAATGGTAAAGAATGTAAAATTTGGTGGTGCTGTCACAGACTCTGTGATGGCTACAGTGCATTTTATAAGTGGCACTTACTGCAACATTGGTGATGAAGAAATTGAATGTTTTGGTGTTAGATGCTAAATCCCTGTGCATTTTAGACTCAAATCAATTTGCCCACTAACTCCTGAGTGCTCTCTTATTATCATGAAGCCTCACAACTCCTATGCTTCCAATGCATTGTAGGTAATTTAAATTGCCAGCATACAGCCTCAGTTGTTGCCAGAATTAATTGGGACAGAGCAAGGAGTTTCTGAACATGAAGGTAAGGAGATCTGCATCAATGATTTCTGCAACTGGGAAACATTTTGTGCAGCAATATATTGTTATACTGCCTGCACATAACTAAAACTTGCATCTTACTGTTTTAAACAATGGCAGATTTTCATCCCTATTCCTTACATGGGTATTTCTCAAGAGGAGGTCCACCACTCCTGATGGATATATATATATATATATGTACATATGACATTATCAGAAGGTAGACAGAACAGCACGTGATAGAGCAAAAGAGGATCACGAAGATTTAAGAAGGGTGCCGTCAAACCAATATAATATATGACACTAACAATCCCCGTAGCATGCCATCAGCACAAGCATCTGAAGTTCTTAGTTTAAAAACAAATCAAAAATATTGCACTTCACTAAAGGGATAATGGGATAACTTTTTCACCCTATTCATAGCCTACAACAATATCCTCTTACTGCATTGCACTGCATCACACTTTCTGGCGATATGAAGATGATATGTTAATAGAGAAAAAAAAATGATTTGAAGCGGGGTCAGGGGATTTCATTAATTTGAGCAAGTCTGCAGTACATCTTTCATCAGATGTCTGAAGTGTTTTACAGCAGAGCTGGAGAACTTGTTACATTTGAAGGCACGTTAAAAAGAATCAGAACATAATTTAATTGGAGGTGCTTGGCAGAATGCTTTGAGATGGAGGCACCTGAGTGTCCTTGTACTTGAATTGCAAAATATCAGCATACAGGAACCATCAATAAGTAGGTAGGCAACTGGAATATAAAACCATAAGATATAGGAGCAAAAGTAAACCATTCAGCTCATTGAGTCTACTCCACCATTCAATGAGATCATAGCTGATCTGACAATCCCCAACTCCACTTTCCCGTCTTATCCTTGTAACACTTGAATCACTTACTGATTAATGAGCTGTCCATCTCAGCTTTGAATACACTTAAAAACTCAGCCTCAAAAACCCTTTGTGATAAAAAATTCCACAGCTTCACTAGTGTTACAGAGCGGAGGTCGACCCCACCTCTGATAACTAAAACAGAGATACCCAGAGAGGCTCACCTTGCCCTATAATCTGTTAAAAGAAGTGTGAAAAGTGATATAATCTGCCTCGCACTCCCCCAATGTATTACAAAGGAGTAGTTAAATGAAATAAACTCCTGATGCTCACTCTATAATCAACAAGTAACAGTTTATTTATCTAACTCTAACAGTGAACAAATTAACTGAACTATTAGCAAACTAAACAAATCCCACTTATATAAACCAAAATAAAAAAAATTAGAACTTAGTCCCTTGAAATTACAGCCAGGTTACATCTTCCAGAATATTCTGTGCCTTCTCCATTGATCTTCAGTCAGGAATGCCTTTTCCTTCAAATTCTTTTGTCAGGAATATTAACTTTATTTAGATGATGCTCTCTCTAAAAGCTGAGAGAGCTGATCTCTTAGCAGATGGCAGTTCGCTTTCTGCCAATTTTGCAACTGTCCCATCTGTTATACCCTTGATAACATCTCAATTTCTTACAATAGGATTGGTCCAGTATTGCCAAAACCATCAGATTTAAATTTAATTGGCTTTTAGTATCTAAGTGCCTGGTTTAAATTAATTGACTAAATTCAAACTTGTTGTCTTGATGATAAAACAAATTGTGGTTTGGACTGCTAACTATACAGCATTTGATACAAATGTTACAATTCAGATGCTCTGTAAGCCTGCAAACCACAAGCTGCCCACAGACGTTTCTTTTTCTCCAAGCCTAGAAAAAGCACATTATCTTTTAAAGGGACCACACACTGCCTTTATAAACAT